GTGTCTCAAATTTATCCACGTCATCTAACGAGGTGTCACCGAAACGTCTCTGTCTGTTTTAGGGCACATGCTAGCAGCTCAAGGTAATGTTTTTGCCTATGGCCTCTAATTGGAATAGGGAGCGAAAGGGAACTACATTCCCCGGGCGACGGATGTGTTTTTTCCCCGGGTGCATAGTCGCCCGGGGCTCTCTGTCCCCGCGGCGCCGCAGCGGGTCGCATCAGGCGCACGCATACCGTGGTGACGCTAACCCCTGCCGCCGGGCTGGACCCGAGCCACCGACCAGACTGATAATGAGGTCGAACATGAGCAGTGCCACGCAGCCTACTGCCCCACCAAACGGAAAGGGAGAAGAAGGAAGCCACTCATTATGTCTACTTTTGTTTCGTTTTTTATTAACAATTGCAATTTTCTCATAACAATTTGGTCGGGCGAGGCGTTGGCACGGCACGCACCGCGGCGCCGCGGACACTGGAGGGGGAGAAGAGCGCGAAGGATGCTCGGCTCGCCTGGGGCGCCACGCCACGCCCCGCCCCGCTCCGCCACTCCCCACCATGCCCGCGGTGCACTAGACACTTTTCTCACACTCATATACTCGCGCGCGCCTCGCCTTTCATCAGTCTCCTGCCTCTCCCCATCTCTCTTTCACTCCCCCTCCCCCCTCTCTTCTTTGTGTTCTCCAGTTTGACCCGGCTGGACGGCCGACCCAGGGCGCGCCTGGGTCCTCAAGGCTTTCTATAGTAGGACGCGTCCCCCGGGCCGGTCCCGTGAGGCCCTTGGGGTCCTGGAGGGCCATGCGGCCCCGGGGGTCTCCTGGAGGGCCCTCTGCCACCGTAGGGACGCGGTGGACGCACCGGAGGCCGGCCCGGAGGCGGTGGCCGCTCGTCCACGGCGGCGCCGTCCTTGTTGTTGACGGGGTGGTAGCTGTCAACGTCGTTGTTGTCGGGCTGCAGCACCTGCGCGGTGGCGGACGCGAAGGCGACCGGCTGCCCCGGCCCAGCCGAGGAGGAAACCTGCCGCTGCACCTGCTGGAGCCGTCCGTCGAGGAGCTCGACGTCGCGGGGCAGCTGGACGGAGCCGGCGTGTCCGGGGCCACCACTCCCAGCTGGGGGTTGGCCGGGGGCGAGGAGGCGCACGTTGATGCCGCGGCCCTGCGTCTTGGCTGTGGTTGTCGTGGTCGTCGTGGTGGTGATGGCTGCCGTGGAGCCGTCGCCCGGGGCTGCCGTGACACTCGCGCTCGGGGCGCCGGTGGTCGCCGGAACTGCGGCCACGGGCGGTCTCGGAGTGCCGAACGGAGTGTTGAACGGATCCACCTGCACGTAGGAGGAGAAGAGGTTCTGCACGCGGTTCACCACGTTCTCCAGGAATGGCGGGAACTGGTGGTGCTGGTCAGATAGGTGGTACACGCCGCTGGACTGTGTCTGGGGCAGCAGCAGGATTGCAGGGGCACCAGCGCGTAGAACGGGGGTCACGTGGTCTGGGACGGAGGGGGCCGGGGACGGGAGAGCGACGGGCAGGTCCAGGTCGAGGCCGCGGAGGTAGACGGTGGGCAGCGGCGCCGGGGGCGGCAGTGGGGTGTACTGCGGCAGCACGCTGTGGGGACAAGTAAGAACGGCAATAAGGCGGGGCACGGCCGAACAGCTGAGCAGCCGGGAGACATGGCAACGATCGTCTCCGTCACTCACCCGAACGAGGCGGGCAGCAGGACCTCGTGTGCTGCGCTGAAACCCACCGCGCTGAACAAGGCGAGCAGCAGCGGCAACACCGCACCAGCCTGAAACAGTTCGAGGTTCAAGAAATCAAGTTGAAGGAGTTGGGCGCACGGGCGCACCTGGGTGGCTGGGCTATATGCGGAAGAGCATCCAGAAAGAACGCCCGTGGCATTCTCCCGCAGAAATCTGCCATGTCCGCCAGCCTATGCAAGCTCTCGTAGCCCATGGCGCCTGATAGGTAGGCAACATCTTGCCTGCAGTGCACGGGTGCACCGCGGGGTGGCCTACCCCGAGTCTCGCAGGCGGTACGGGTGCCGTCACTTGCCGAATGAAATCTGAGAAAAACGGGCGACGTTCTCTCTGTGCGATCCCCAGAGTGGCCCGCGGCCCGTGGATAATCCAGCAGGTTGGGAGCAGGCCCCTGGTGCATGCCTTCGCCGCTTATCAGCGACATCTTCCGTAATCAGTGTCTTCGCCTCTCACTGGAAATGGGCCATAACGTGACGAAGCTAACGCCAAGTGTGTTGTGTGGCTGTTGAGATTGACGCCTGCCGTCCTTAGGATAGGCCACCCGCCGCTCCCAGCTGTACACCACCGCAGGATTGTGCCTAACTAACAGGTGCAACTGTTCATTTCCCCTACTTTGATGTTTCATTTTATTCTTCCTGCTTGGTCTCATCCCCCATTTTTCGTTCGGCCCCATACTCTACAGATCAGGCTCACGAACAGAGAATCAATTTTATCACACCCTCCCCTCCTCTTTCGTACCCACATAACACCTCGGACTCAGAATCTCCCAAAAAATCCTGAGACCAATAAAATCGTTCTTCCCACGATACGCGTTTTGAGGCACTGGTCTCCGGTAGAGTCGCCGCCAGAGTGCACAGTGGACATGGCCAGTTTCTGCTGCAACTTTTCGTCATGAATGGAAAGGGGATCCGCTCCCGGGAAAGCAGCTAGCTGGACGCGAGCCGCATCAGAAACGAGTGTGGCGGGGAGGCACGTCACGTGTGTCACACGTGTGTCCAGGCGCCCGCCAAGGGCCGAATGGATTTCCAATACGCGGTGCGGATCGCGGTGGCAATACATCGTCTCTCTCTCCGTCCGTCCGTCTCTCTCTCTCTGGCCGCGGCGCTCACGTCCTGGCCTGACGTCGGCTTGGCAAGCCCCCTGACCGCGCGCAGCGCCGCTCCTCCTGGGTGGTTGTGTCTTGTTAAGACAGGGGAGCTCGGGACGGACGGTAGCCGAGAGGCCGTCACATTGTCACAAGACACGGCTGAGGAAATGGCAGTTTAGAGCAGCACTGCTACTTTAATTATTATTATCAAAATTATTGTGCTCCAGTATGTGTCGAATACCATTATTGCTTTACTAGGTTCGAGATGGGTATTCAGTTTTACTATATATACCAGATTTTACCGTGGAACGTGTCAGCTGGCAGAGAGTGCCAAACATTTTCTTGCTTCCAAACTCCATTCCCCTTCGATTCAAAATAAACCGCACGAGAAAAGTCATCATTTGCCTCTTTACATGTCCACACCATTAAAGAATGATTGTTTTAATTTATATTATGTGCACCTGTCTATTCAGTCTAGTCGTTTGATTCCAGTATTTCAAAAGTGATGGCACTATCATCCCAATCTCATTCACACTACGTGATAAAGTCAAAACTTTCTCTAGAGAGCAAAGTTAACGAACTGGTGGATTTTTCCTCCACCGCTAAACCCCAATTGAATTAGTAATGATAAAAATTATTGCTCTTGAGCTCTTGATTTGTTTCAGACAATACAGTAATTACAACATTAAATGTCCTTGTTCTATGTATTGTCTATACTGTCTTTGACCACTTGGTTCCGACTCACCGCCCTGAGAACGCCCCCGGTGTTGGCAGCCATGACGATGGCAGGATGGACTGCAGCGGATGGCGATCGGCAGCCGAGTGACCCGCAGCGAACACTCCGACGGGTTTTATTGGGGTGCGGGGGCGCGGCGCGCAGTGCGGTGGGCGGGGGGCGGGGTGGGGCGAGGGCGAGGCGTAGTGGGTGACGGGGGCACAAGCAGGGTGCCATCAAGGGGTAAGTGTACACCATCAGAAGTTTTCGACATGAAGGAGACGACGTGATAATGCAATGAACAATCGGATTCTTATTTAGAGTATTCATTAAATCATATTATTGCAAAACATTCCGTTCAAAACTAAGTTTTATTGTAATAAAGCCTTAGCCAACTACCCAGCTCATGGGTTCATAACTCACCTCCCCGTAATATTTACGTAGGATTTTTACTCCTTCGCTTGTTTTTTTTTTTCTTATAAAGGCAGGTTGAATTATAACGTAGAGTCCCATGTGGGCACACGATGATGGCCGTGCCTTGATGGGAAACGACACCCCTAAAAATTTCTCTCACTTCAGGTGTTAAGTGGTTGTTCTTATTTGGTATTGTCGATGGTTGGAGTAACTGGAGGGAGAGGGGAGGTACCTTGGCCGGCGTGTCACGCCGTAGCCGTGGACCGCCCACCCGTCGCGTGCCTTGCGCACGACATCCCCAGCTCCACGGCTGGACGTGTGCCTCGCCTTGCACCATCCATCCGGGCCGAGTGCTGCTCCCCGCCGACCAGACGACACCTCCCTGCCGGGTGGGCCGCCCGGGGTGGGCGTGGAGGTGGAGGGGGCGGGGGCGCCCATTTGTACTGGACTCGTGGGTCCGGCCGAAACACTGCCGAGGAATGCGCGAGGGGGACGGAGAGGGAGCGAGTGTGAGCGGCGGAGTAAGTGAGAGAGAGAGGGGGGGGGGGCAGACCCGCGGGGCGGCGGTGCACCGTCTGCCAAAAACCATCAAGCGAACGACAATGAGTGCCTGTGGGTGATGACACCGGTTTCCTGACGCAACGAAACTATTTCTGCAGGAAATGAGAAGGGATGGGGGGGGCACCGCCCAGCGCCCAAGCCCACACAGATTCGAGCGGACTGTGTGCCCTGGCGAATCCTATATAGATCCGAATAGGTGAGTGACCCTGTGACAATCTTCCAAAGTGCGCAGAAAATGGGTCGAGTTTGCATCATGGGACATATGGCATGCCATGCCTATCGGCAGATTGGAAATCATGTGGACACCCTTTATGCATCTACACTACTACAACTCATTTATTTAATTATTTACGTTTTTATCAGTCGAATTCTTTTACATATATCAGTAGCAGTCGTGTGCTGAGCACGCTAGTCTCCCAGGACCTACCGGGGAGAAGGAATAACTTAATGATAATTACAAAGCAGATCCTGGGAAAGGGGCGCGCGGTTGGCACCAAAAGGAGAGGGGGCAGCAAGCGATACTGTGCTCTCCTCTCTTCGGAAACTTCCACGTATCAACTTCAACTCGTGAAGGACGACTTAATCCTTGTTCGGCCAAATGGGCTTAGGCGGGGTTTAAACACTTAAACCCGACGTAAGCGTGTTTGGCCGTTAGTGTAGGAAACGAACATAAAAACAAACTTCTTGCGGACGAGCTTGAGGACGGTGTGCAACTAGGTAGCGGAGAAGGGCCTAGACGGAGCTTGAACCGTACTCGACCAGGAACTCGGGGACGCTGGGAGCATCATCGGCGGCGCCGGCGGCAGCCAGCTTGTTCTTCTTGTTGAGCCACTTGCGGTAGGCGTCGGCGTTGTGCGCAGCCGTGTTGGCGGACGGCACAGCGATGGGCGGGGTGCCGCCCGCGGGGCCCGCCACGGCGGTGGCGGAGGGCGCGGCCAGGGCCATGCCGCCGGGGCCCACCAGGGCGGTGCCCATGGGGGACGCGGCCGCCACTCCACCGGGGCCCGCCAGCGCGATAGCCTGGGGCTTCACCTGCAACAGGACACGGCAGAGTCAGGAGCGGCCCACGCGCTTGAAACCAAAGACGGTTGGAATAATATCTGAGTCCTGGTCTGCATCTAGAAATTTGTTGTTCAAAATAGTTGAAACGACTTTGTTCAAGGTGCTAGTCCGTCCTAATCATTCCCAGATTGATCCTGTTATGTTAAAAGAGTTGATTTGCATCCGGGATGTACCAGGCATTCTCTTAGGGTTGATGATAAATTCTAATTAATGATTCCATTCAGAATGGGAAGTTGATTAGAAAGCTCCGTGCGTATTGCATACAATCTTCAGAGATATAAATATGTTAATGCTAATGATTATTGTTCTTTGCGATGCGCTACGAACTATTTGTTATCCGATGTTATCTTTAGTGCTCTTTCGCGCTTGGAATATTTTCCTCGTCGATAAAATGTTTTGATGGGAACGAAAATTATTATTTCAATTTTGAAAGTAGAAGTACATACTTTAAGTGTTAACACTAGATGCGGCCACTTGTCCTTGCATGTTGCACATTTCGTGACTTACCGCCACCAACTCTCATTCTGTCTGGAACCGGCCTGCTTCCCTCCGGATCCGCGATGTGCATGCCACCCGGAACAGCAGAGAACACCGATTAAGAGTTCGTCCGCCACCCACCCAGCTCTGGTCCCCTAGCATAGCAGCTTCCCTAGCCCAGCAGCCCGAGGCCCGCGCCCCCGAAGGGCAGTGCGCCTTGGATCTGAGGCCTGATGAACTGGTTGAACGCGAGAGTCCCCATGCGAATGACGATCCTCGTAAGAATCGAAAACGGACGCCGGCGAACATCGCCGCCCTCGGACTGCTGCGCGCCGTCCTCCCTGACGAGGATGACGGCCACGTCCGGTCCGAAGCGCTGCTGCAGCTCCACCCAGGACTTCTCATCGAGCGCGGTGCTGCCAGCCGGCAGAACCCCGTCCCCCAGGACAAGCGCCTCCAGCAACACCTCGTCCTTCGCGACCTCCGGCGCGCCCGGGCGCTCGGCGGAAACCACATCTGCAGGCGGGGCCACTAGGGCGATCTGCACCGGAACAGCAACGGCGGGGTCTGCCCTCGCCTCCCCGGCTGACGCTTGTTCTAACTGCATTGGGGGTTGAGTCAATACATCAGAACCCTCGACCGGTGACCGCTCAGTACTTTTGTTCTCGCTATCCTCGCCCTCCCCCTCCCTCTCCCCCTGCCCATCACTATTCCTAACTCCATGACTTTGCCCTTGACTCTCCCCCTCTCCCCGACTCTGCCCTTGGCTCTCCCCCTCTCCCTGGCTTTGTCCCTCCCGTTCTCCTTCTTGCTGACTTTGCCCCTCAGCCCTACCCTCGTTCTGATTCTGACCATGACCCTGGCCATCAACCTGAGAAAGCCCTTCACTCTCCGCTTCCCCCTGCCGCTGCCCTTCATTCTCCTGCACCTCAGTCTTCTTCGTCTCCTGCTCCCGTACCTGAGCGATGGACACAGGCTTTTCGCTGTCAGAGTCTACAACATCGTCATCGGTGGCGGGCGGTGTGGTGGTGGTAGGGCCCGATGAAGACGACTCCCCCTCGGTGGTGTTGGTGGCGTCCCTCAGAGCGTCTACGGCGATTGACTCGTCAGCCAGGGAGTGCACGATGCCGGGGTGTGGGGCGGGGTAGAAGCCTGTGATCGAGCAGATAAGAGTGTGTTAGCAGACAACCGCCACGCGGAACCATATGACACACTTAATTGTCAGGTGTTTTGTTAAGTATTTGACATAGCTGCACACGAAAAAAGACTTCGTTGTGCGGATCAGTTTTGTTTGGTAGCCAAAAGGCAATAGCTGGCATCGAGAAACAGACAACCAACTCCTGGTTTGGGGTGTCAGATGCCCACCAGTCAGCTTCTCGATTCCAGCTATTGTATTTAGCATACCAAACAGAACTGATCCCCACAACGAAGTCTTCTTATTTTCGTGCAAAATCTTGTTTCTGAAAATCATAAAAATGACGTGCATTGTGTTAAGTGAGCCCCCTCCTTCCCTGCGTGTCCTCCACTGACCTGGCGCGTGCTGACCCTGGCGCGTGAGCAGGAACCTCTGGTAGGCCAGCGCCTGGCTGCCAGGCCCGGACACCTGGACGTCGTCCTGGGCGCGGATGCCCTCGCCGGACACGATGAGGCGGGTGGGGTTGGAGGCGGGGGCCAGGCCGTACTTGTTGTCGGGGGTGCGCACCAGGATCATGGGGCCGGTGGCGGAGGGCAGCACGGTCTGCTGCACCCTCTGAGTCTGTTGGTACTGCTGCTGCTGGGGCTGCTCCACGGGCTGCACGCGGTACGCGCCCTGCAAAAAGCGACATTGTGTACTTCTGTGACTACAGACATCGGCCTGGCAAGTTATGTGTGAAAATGATAACTTCATCTTCACTTGCACACAAGACGATACTCCGTGCGCCGCCACCTCGCGCGTGCGGAGTATCGCCGCGGGACAGCTGGACGCACCTGGCTGGGAAGGCCGTAGAGGGGCTGGTTGCGGAGGAGCAGGTAGGTGGACACGGCTCCGTTGGCAGCGCTGGGGAGGGCGGCGGGGTTGGCGACGACCTGGGGCTGCGACACCACGATGAATCGCTGTGGAGGGGCTGCGGGAGCCTCGGGCATAGCGGGGGCCTCGGGCTTCTTGGATCCCTCTGACGAGGAGGCCGCGGCAGGCTCGGCGGGGGCCTCTGCAAGCAGTAGCGAGTGTCAGCAGGCGGCGGGTAGGCCGCCCCGCCAGGCGCGCGTGCCTCGCGGGCTTGCCCACCCCGCGGGGCGCTCACTCACCGGCTCCAGCGGCGGGTGCGGGGTTGGCCCCCTCTGCGGGAGGCTTGCCGCTCTGCGTGGTCGTCAGGGTCTGCCAGTAGTTCTGCAGGACGCCGAGGTACTCGGAGGGGTTGAAGCCCCAGCCGCTGCCGCTGCTGCCGCCGGTGCTGCCGCCGCTGCCGGCCTCATCCCGGAGGGGTAAAGGCAGGAAGGACGCGGCCGGCCCTCCGACGGGGTAGCCGTAGGGCTGCTGCTGCTGGTACACGGAGGCGCCGTTGGGGCTGTACACCAGTACGCGCTGGTACTGCGGCTGGTACTGCTGCTGGTACTGTGGCTGATACTGGGGCTGGTACTGCGGCTGGTACTGTGCTTGGTATTGCGGCTGGTACTGCGACTGTTGGTAGAACTGAGGCGCGGCGGACTTTACCGTGATTCTGCAATAAACAACTTGCACGTTCGTAATGCGGATATGGAAAAATGCAACATAACTGTGAGACACTACAGATAGATGATATTTGAACAAATATTGCCGAATTGATTATCGTTGTACTCACTGCTGCTGTGGTTGGTAGGGCTGAGCGCTGTAGAACAGGGGTCCGAGCTGATGTTGGGCGGGGACAGGGGCGGGAGCGGGGCCCGACAGGCCGCCGTAGTACTGGGGGACCTCTCGGTCTGCGGTGCTCGCCACGAGAAGCGCTAGGGCCACGGCCCACCTCAACTGCAACAGGCCAAGCAAGAGCTGCTCAACAAGAAGTAGTCACCAAGCAAGCAATGGAAATCAAAAGATTAAATTAAGTGTGCGTCAAACGAGTGGCTAAGGTGGCCAATAAAATAGCAGCAAAATAGCTTCGTCAGTGTATTCCTAATTAGCCATTAATGATGAGCTCAGAGCACCTGTTTCGGTGGTCACCCCATTCCCAACACTATAAAGTTCCAGGAGTGAAGTCCACTGTAAATAATATTTTGTTTTACTCTGTAATCATGCTGCACTGCACCCCGCCCGCTGCGCCTTTCGCCTGTCGCGGAAGGTTCTTGACCCGCATGCTGACGTGCCCCCTCCCCCGCCGCCCCTTCCCCTCCAAACGATCGCCACGGCGCCGCCGGGATGAGACATGCCGGGACGCGCGGCAACCGGTTCGTCTCACGTCTCCTCATTTTTTCATTCGCCACTTCTTTATTTTTATTACCGTTTGCGCCGTTTGTTTGCCACCAGACTTCTTTACGCGCCCGAAATGGAGTCGTCGCAAGCACATGGCAGACAAGGCGCTAACTCTGAGGGGGGCGCGACCCCCGCGCGCCGGGGACAGTCCGACGCCCGTCACGTATAGCCACTCCGCTTCTTTAAAATTTGCCTGAGTTATTCGTATTGATAAGATTTCGCATTCAAAGTGGCGGTGTTCGTGAACGACCCAATGTCAGGGTAAAGTCACTTCCCCCAAAACAGACTGCCCCAATTACATCTTTGTTGAGCCCCCCTACCTCAATCTCCCCCCATATACTGCGCGTCTGAAACGTCTAGTGCGTCTAGTGCTGCTCTGCCTTGTTGATGACAAGAGCGAGAGTGAGCAGGCACACAGAACACCGTAAGGAGGGTCTCAAAGGCACTGCCGCCCCGGCCCGCGGCCCCGTGGTCCGTGGTCCCGCGGAGTGGGCCAGGCCGCCGGGCCCACGTATCAGGTTCGGATCCCCCGGCGCGGTGCGTGTCCTGGGCGCTGGCTCGGCGGGTCAGCTGAGTCACTCCCAGGTCCATCAAGATACCGTACCGCTACGACAAGAAAAAAAGTCCCTCGCTCTGTTTCCTTCAAACCTGTTGGTAAAGTCGAACAGACGATACTTGTGATGTTTTTTCTAAGTCTGTCTACCCAGGAATGAGAAACGTGTTCACAATTTTACCATATTTCGTTTCCATGGACCTGGCATCTCGAGTAAAGAAAAGATATTAATTTGTCGAGGGAAAAATACGTACTTCCTCTAAAAGAAATATTAACACCGAGTCCTGAGACTTGACCGAGGCAAAAACTGATCTCGAAGTTGATTTCTTGCTTCCCAAGCCCAAGTAAATGGACCGGAAGCGGGGCCAAGTAAGGGCAATGTTTAAATGGGGAGTAGTTAAATTCTTAGTCATAGAATAGAAGAATTGTCGACAACGGGTTAATCGAAATGCTTCCCATGACAGTCAGGTTCCGTTGCCGTTATCTATAAATGGCACGATCCTGCCGCGCGCTGCGCGCCCACCTCGCTATTTCTATTTTACATACTGAGTGGCCCCACCCCGCTTGGCCGTCAGCTGGTCCCTAATGACCCTGACACCGTGACGGCCAAGGCGCCCACGGCTGGTCCACAGAGGTCAACGGCCCGGTTGAGTCTGGCAAGCTCATCACATCACCCGTTCATTTCGTCGATTCCATCAGATATTTTTGCCGGAATTACATCGTCTGCGTGCTGTTGGGGTTGCGGCGTTTTCCTTGGGCATCCGTTTTGACGCGGGTGGGGCAGAGGGGGAGGGGAGCGTTTAATACCGAGACCTGTATGAGCCCAGGAAAATACTGGACGCTCCTTTGTATGCGCGCTCCAGAGTTGCAGGATTGCGTACTGGCTTGTTGTTGCCTCCCACTGAGTTTGTGTATCCGTACGATATTATTTGACATTTTTGTACGATCCTTTTTGCTCTACACACTGATAAAACAAGTGTGCAACTGCAAGTTAAATACCTGCGAGTGCTCAACTTCCTAGTTGCACACTTGAAAGTGTTCAACTAGATAGCTGTACTGCTGTACACTAGCAAGCGTGCAACTCTTCTGTTGTACACTTCCTGAAAATAGACGCTCGCAGTATGGGAAGTGCTTCACAGAGAAGTTGCTGACTTTCAGGTGCACAGCTACCAACTTGATCACTCTTTGCAACTATTCAACATGAAGTTGCACACTTACGAGGGTCAAGGAACACATAACAATCCGGGAAAGAAAGAATTCGGTTGGCGTTTTACTCGTTCCTTTCCTTTTGGTACTGGGACTATCTGAAGCGCCCCATTACCGCCAGGCAGACACTGATCCGCCGCAACCATCCATGAGCCTGTCCCTTTCCTTTTGGATTCTTCTCTCGGCGCCGCGTGATCGTCAGTGAGGAGAGAGGGGAGGGGGGAGGGGGATAGCGATCTTGTGGGACTGGTGCCAAAGAAGTGCCAGCGGCAGGAGCGGTGGCAGCGATGGTCAGGTTATTTGGGAGGCGCTGCTCGGCCCGTCGGGGTCAGCGACCAGGACGGCCACCGCTGCTGCTTCGCACCAAATAACGAGATCGGAAATTTATCGCCCCTAATCATGAAGTTGAGTGCGCTACCACGCCCTCGTCGGACACGCCGATCGAAAGAAGAAAAAAACGAGATCTCGGGATATGGCGAACGTTGATGGCGCTGCTCTCCGTCTGACAGTTCTGCGGTCACAACTCAGTTGCAGTCCAGGATCGGTCCCGGTGATCTCCGGTCACTGACTTGAGATTTTAATGACATCTATACGTCGTTGCATGCCGCCGCGGGGTGAGGAGAAGCGGTATGTGACTAGTCCATAGTTGGAGGGGGGGGGGGGGCAAGGGGCAGCGGACGTTGGACGCCGTGCAGCTCACTGCTCCGTGGTCGCCAGGGAGTGGCTGACGGTGTCGGTAAACATGGATGTACGCCCGGCTCGCTTTGGCCTGTTACACCAACAAAGAACCAAGGGCAAGAGCGTCTCGCAAATAGGGGGCAAGGGGGGGGGGGCGGCTACTGAACCCTATCTAATGGCAAAACGATGGCTGCAGACCCAGGCCGGCCGGCGGGAACCAAAAGACTCCACTGCCTCTTTCTCGCTCTATCTCATTGTGCGGAGGTGACAGAAATCCTGGTTTGCAGGGACGGCCATAGCTGGGGGCCAGGCCAGGGAGACCAGAGGCCGCCAAAAGCAAGGTCGAGGACAAGACAAATGCACTGCGTGGCGTTTCTGTTGGAGACACAGAACTGCAATCGACTATAATAGGACACGTTTGAATGTGGCTTATCCTCCTAAGGGGGACAATTCAGCTTTTTAGTGTACTCAAGAGAATAATAGGCGGAGTACACAGAGTAAAGCTTGAGTTCGCAGAGTACCGGATGTAATTGTGAATGCGCAGCAGTGTTGCGGGATTGCATACCCACCAGGGCTGCAGGGGCCATAGCGCCTTACGGGCGAATTGGGTAGGCCAACCCACAACACTGCTGCACATTCACAGTTACACCCGGTACAGCTGTAGTACATAGGAGTTCGTCAGGAAACAACCGGAGGACCACCCGAGTAGTACAGTCAAATTTGACCCTGAGAACGCTTGGAGTACGCGGAGTACACCCGGAGTACGTCAAGCCTAGTATACTGATCGCAACAATAAGTTGTCGACCCCTCGGACTTGTCTACACCAGAGCTCATATCGTTCGCCGTGCAGCGTGCAAAACGTTTTCTATTGGGCAATTTCGATGATGTGGTGCACAAACAAACGAATTAGGAGCGTGACAAACCGTTTCCGACGTAGGCATTTTGTAACATGATAAAAAACCTTCGCACTGTAAGAAGATTGCCTGGCCGCTGGTTCTATTTCCGCTTGGTCGGACCAAACAGGACGCCCGCTCAACAAGTGCGAATTGTGTTGAATTGTTCTTTTCCCTCTTTCCCCAAACGCATTATCGAAAAACCCCATTATTAGCGTCAGTGAGAGGGTAGCAATAGCAGTTACCCTAAACATTATAATATTAGTTTAAATGGTGCATTCATCACCCAACCCACCCCTTGCTCCGGCACCCTCTTCCGCGGCAAGGCGTTTCAGTTGTGCCGTATCATGGCCTGACACGGCCGTGACATGACAACTACTCCTAAATGACTTGCTCATGTCCCGGGACCCCGCGCGCACACTGTAACACACTCACGCGCACACAAGAGTGCGTGTGTGTGAGTATGGGCGAGCTCGTTCGGTGCAGTGTCCACCGTCCGCCAGGAGGGGGTCTTCTCCTCGTCGTGAACCTGGGCGGCTGAGCCGGCGGCCGCGGCCGAGTCGCGGAGGGGGACGACTTACCTGGCGCTGTCCGTCCATGATGTCTGCTGCCTGCCGCGAGGAGTGCCGGAGTGCCGGCGAGTGGCGTCCCGTGGCGGCGGGGGGCCACGGCCACGGCCGGCTCCTCCCGGCTGGGGAGGGGACCCGCGCTCGCCCCGCTCGCCCCGCCAGCCCCGCCAGCCCCGCCAGCCACGCCCCTTGCCCGCCACGGTCCAGTGGTGGCGCCTTAAGGAGGGGAGTTGGTCTTCAGACCAACGTGGTGGCCAAAGGTACAGTGGTCAAAATGATCCGATGATTAGGGAGACCACGACGATTCGGCGAAACAGTCGACAGTATACCATTTTCATTTCACACCCCCCCCCCCCTCTTTCTCTCTCTTTTATAGTGTCTTGTTTGCCCAACATTATCTGGATATAACTTTCATGCTTACAGAATGCCAAGTTTGCTTTTGCTATGCTGCTTCACGTCATCCATGAATTCCTAGTTGTGCTGTGCCGGCATCTCCTAAGAGAGGAGGGGGGGGGGAGTAAAAATAAAACTCTGACTCTGGCTTCTTACGACCCCGAGTGGGCAACCCACCCACGCGTTGGCATGCAGCACAGTCTATCTGGGTAGGGCGAGGATATTAGCCATTATTTTGGTCTCTTTTCTAATTTAATGAGATGGAACTTTTTAACAATGTAGTGGTTGATCCGACCCTCCTTGTGCGCGTTTGAGCCTTTACTTGCTTTACTCTTCATTCAGATCTTTCCGTAACGGACTACTTGTGTCCGAATAATGGGATTTGGACTTGGGGGGGTCGGGAAGGGTAAATGTATGTTTCTCTCCTTCTTGCTATGCGAACCGCCTGTCTCGCGATAGGATGCGTGTGTGTATGCAAATGTTGTCAAGTTAGACCCAGTTAGGCCTTATGTACGACCAGAGCCACGCCGCGCCGCGCCCCTCCGCGCTCCGCCGGCCGTCTGCAAACACTGAAGTGGCCAGTGACCCCCGTCGTGGTAGTGCTTTGAGGGGAACTTCAACGCAGGAAGGAGGCGAGAGTACGACGTCCCTGCTAAACACAGCGATGAGTTCACGTCACACATGCACCTTTACTGAGTTGGACCGTTAGTAAGTGGGTGGCAGAGTCCGATACGCTATTTGGTTTGGTACTACACGGTACGAGCGCGGTTTCTTTTCTTTTCAAGAATTGGAAATTTGGTGTAGCGATCTGAGTTAATGTACCGTTTTTCTCTTTCCAAGCAAAACATTATTTACTTCCTACTCCCGTAAGAGATCATCTATAAAGTGCGTGCGTCATTTGGCCGTCAGGAGCCTCCGAGGTTCTGCCTCTGCAAGCTATCTAGCGCCTGATAGGTAGGCAACACCTTGCGAGCAGTGTAGGCGTGTACTGCGGGGTAGCCTACCTCGAGTCTCGCAGGCGCCGACCTTAGCCGACCTCAAGTAATTTGCCGGAATAAATTTAAGAAAACAGGGACTTTTAAATTTTCTGAACGCTCGAGATGCAATGGCTTCTACGGTCCGATAAAGTATTCATACCCGCAACACTCGAGCATGTGCAGAGAATACGGCACAATAGGCCTACGTTTTTCTTCGATATCATGTAAAATGGTGCACTTTGCATTGTCGTTTTTAGAAGGTTTAAATATGAATTGAGAACAGATAATATCCAAAGTTATTTTTTAAAATATCTCAGTCACACTTTATTGGCACTTAATATCTGAAATGGTATATAAATAAACATATCCTTAATCTTAAAACACTGCACTCCGAAGAATAAAATCACAGCAGCCGTCGTCTTTTTTTAAATAGGTTTATCACAACAATAATCACCACAACAACACCGCCATTACTTTACCCCATATTCACGCAAGAAAAATAATTTACAACGAACGTCAATAAATAAGAACCTCCGAGAATTGTTGAGAACGCCCTCGGGACTCGCAGGGGCATCGCATGCTATCGCACTACGGCATTGCGAACCCCGCCCAGTAGTCCAGCCCCCGGTCAGTTTTTCTTCTGCCTCCCTCTCACTCGGGTTGGTCCTGGCATGAGAGCGAGTGAGAGAGGATACGCTGCGTCCACAGAACTGGTTTGCTCGCCGATCGGCCTACCCATCACCCACATGGCATTCATGTCCTCGAACACGTGGGCGTCGTGCGCCCGGTAAGGGGTCATCGGCCAGTCGATGAGGGAATGGCGACGCGGTCGCGTTTGGGGAAAACGCACACCGGGGGAACTCAAGGACATGTTCAACTTACGAATCATATCGTAAAAGGTTACTGTTGGTTTTGTTTTTGTCTTTTTACGAGCTAAGCGTTGCAACTGCAACCATGCCGATTAGACTCCTGCGTCTGCTTCAGGCGTAGTGGTAGGGGGGCGGGAGCAGCAGCCATTGTGCGTGTGGTGCGGTGGGCGGGAGCAGGGGTTGAGCCAGGGGCTGCGCCAGGGGGTGGAGGTGGTGCAGGGACTGCAGGGGCTGCGCCTGAGGCTGCGGCCCCCAGGGCGCCCCCAGCCCGGCGGGCACGCCGGGGTACAGGAAGGCAGCGACGGGCCCGGCGGGCGCCACCTGCGCGCCGCCCACGGCCGCCGCCACGAGCAGCTCGGCGCCCTGGATGCCGGCGATGGCCGTAGCGATGGGCCGCGCCACCGCCAGTCCCCCGGGCCCCACCAGGGCCGTGGCCGTGGGGCGGGACGAGGCCACGCCGCCCTCGCCGGCCACCGCGATGCCGATGGGCTTGGCCTCCGCCATGGACGCGTTGGGCGGCGGCTGGGAGATGGTGATTGTGTCGCCCGTGTCGGCGGGCGGTGAGGGGGGCTTCTCGTCGGTCTCCTCGCCCACGTTCTCCTCCTCTTCTTCCTCCTCCTTGTGTCCGGGACGGGCGGGCTTCTTTTTGTTGTTCTTCTTCTTATTTTTGACGGCGAGCTCCGCGGCCGTCACGGGCTTGGCAATGATGAGGTACTGTCCCTTGGCGCCGCCGTAGTACGGCACCAGCACCGTGCCCGGGGAGAGGTTCAGTCTGCAACACGGGGAAAGAGTTGGATTAGTGAGGAACGTAGCTCACTCTCGAGACCAACAACGGGCCTGGACCACCGCGACTGTGTGTCCTGGGGGTCCTGGGGCCCGCCGGGCCGCCGCGCCCAGAAGTGGAAGCGGGCCATAAAGGACGAGCGGGAGGACAACGGGTGAAAGGGCGAGTGAAGTGCTCTGAAGCCAGCGCCCGCGCTCAGAAGGGTGATAACATTCCAGCACAGCCCGGCGCCTACAAGTACTAAAATGAAATTAGGTCATGACCAGGGTTGGTCTCGTTAATTAACGAGTTAACGACGTTACGACGTTACGTTAACTTTTTTAGTAACGTTAACGTAACGAGTTATTTTTGTCTAGGATTGGTAACGTTAACGCGTGACGTTATCAGGAATAGGTAACGCCGTAACACCGTTAACGTTAAAACAGGTTTGATGAACGATGGCAAAAGGCAAATTTCCTTTCAGTAAATGAATATTATTACATTTTTTAAAAGTTTTGTTTGTGTAAAATTGACTTAGAATGCAATGTTTTTATCTAAAAAGGGACTGCTTATTGTTTGTCCTAACAGTTTCCAGCGTAATTCCGCAATTTTGTACTCTTTTCTTCGCGATTTTAAGATTTTTGGCAATTTTGGGACTTAACGTAACGTTAACGACGTTTTAACGTAACGTAACGCGTTAATAATTCCTCTGCACTGTTAACGTAACGCGTTACGTTAACTTGATTTACAAAGTAACGTAACGTAACGCGTTAACTTTTTCTGTTAACGAGACCAACCCTGGTCATGACACACGAGAGCTCAGCGGCGTATTTACCTCGGCCAGTACAGTATGTACAATTGAGCGCACAAAAAATCCAAAGAAATAGTGGTCCTTTCATAGCTGTGACAAAAAGTTGTATAATCGCTTAGACCGAGGGGGATGGAAGGGATAGCTTGGTGTTGTGTATTCGTAGCCTAATGTGAACTGATCTGGTTTCAAGTGCGGTATTCGATGCATATTGTAATAAGTGTAATTATTCCCTGTACTGTAACACGTGCGCGTGTCCGAATCGTGGCTACAAGGCACCCACTATGAGTTTAAATTTGCCCACAGCACCTTTTAAGTTCACTGCTTCTTTTTGGTGCCCTGCTTCTTGCCCTGAGTGGACGGCGCCCTGGTCGTTGGAGCCTTGGCAGCTGAGGTGGATGAAGACGTAGACGGCACGACGGGCGCGATGGTCGTTGGCTTGGCGTCGATGGGTGTTGTCGCGACCGATGCCGCGGTGGGTACAGTTGGCGCCGGCGTGGACACCGTGGAGGACAGGATGGTTGGCGGTGCAGTGACGTTCACGTAAGTCAGGATGAGTTCTCCCATGGCGTGTGCCATGCCGTTGGCTCCGGCTACGGCAGACACCTCCGGATTGTAGTCCACGATGACGGGATGGTCGCCCCGTATCACGGCGTTCGATATCGGGAGAGCGATAGCGATGCCGTCCTCTCCAGCCTCGGCCTTCGCCAAGGGGTTGATGAGGAGCCTGGTCGGCTTGTCCTCAACGGTACTGTCGGCCTCGTTCGACTTTACAGCCGAGGTCGTCGAGTCGTCGACGGCCTCTGTGACCGAGTCTGCCGTGACGGCCTCCTCCTCGGGCACGGCAGCGATGGTCTGGACCTCGGACATGTAGATATCGGGGATGCTGTCGCTCTGGTTCTCCTCTTCCAAGGCCTCGTCCTGGTCCTCAGTCGGGTCCTCGGACAATGGCTTTTGCTCTACCTGGTCCGTGGGCGAGGTACTGGGTAGACCCTGTATCTCGTCAAACGTGGGCAGCGTCTGGTCCGGAAGGGCCGCCGATGGCTGCCCCTCCGAGGGTGCCGGGGTCGTAGCGTCAGCCACCGGGCTGGAGGTGGAGGTGGAGGTAGTCGTGGTCGTGGAGGGCAGCGTCGCTGCCAGAGCGGGAGGCTGCTCAGACCTCACCTCGACGGCCTCCTCCTCGTCCTGGTAGTGAGAGGCGTGCCCGGATGGCGCGCCAGCAGGCACAAAGGTCCCGAAGGGCGAGGAGAGAAAGGAATCTGCTGCGGGCAGTGCCGGGTAGGACGGTAGTGGCAGCGAGGGCAGGGCGGGGAGTGCGGGCAGAGCGCCGCCGTAGCCGTAGGGCCGCGGCTCATGCTGGGGGTCGGGCACCGCGCCGTAGGCAAGCGCGGCGTCGAACTGGTCTCCCTCGAGCGTAGCGAGGATGCTCTTGTACGGGGGCAGGGCGTCATCATAGTCCTCGTCGTGGCTGTCCAGCAGGCCGTACTGGCCGGCGGAGGCGGGCGGCGGAGAGAACACAGGCCTGGACTGTTGGGCCTGTTGCGGCTGCTGGTGCGTGAACGCTGCGAACGCGTCGTAAGTCTGCGGGGCTTGCGGCTGCTCGAAGCCATACCCGTCCAGGTACAGTTGCTGCTGATGCTGCTGCTGATGCTGCTGCTGATGCTGTTGCTGCTGATGGTATTCGTATGGGTCCTGTTGCCACGGTGCCTGCTGCTGCCACTGGAGCTGTTGTTGCTGATGCTGATGCTGCACTCGTCGCAGAGGCGTGGTTCTCCTATGAACCTCCACCTTTCCCAGGTTGGCGAACGGATAGTTGTAGTAGGGGAGCTCGTCGGGTAGCTCACGTTCAGAGAACAGCTGGTATGACGACGCTGGGCCGGAGGTTTCGGCAGTGACTCCTGCAGCGCCCAGGGCACCAAGACCGCCCAGCCCCGAGGAACCCGACCAGGACCACGCCCCGGAGGAACCGGACCCGGTGCCAGAGCCGGAATATGTGTTACCTCCGTGGTAACCGAAGCCGGCCCCGGAGTACCCCCCGCCGAACGAGGATGCTGATGATCTCCTCGATGGCGAATGGGATAGCTGTGCCTGTTGCAGCCCGGCCAGCACCCGGCCGAAGTTGCCCAGGCCGTCCAGGCTGTCTGGGGTCCACTGCAGTCGCGCGGGCCTGAGGACAACACAAGGACGATGAGTACGGTAAGTTCAGTGGCTTAGGCAACAACGTCCCGTCGTAACGTTTTCTTTTTCATCCAAGAAGTTGGTCTTGTTCAGTCTTCTTTTCTCTGTGTTGTCAGTTCAAGTCCTCCTCTTGTTCGTCGATGTTCGTAGGTATTCAGCGTCTTCAGTCTTCCTCAAAATTGCCGTCGATATTACTACTTGTCATGGTCCATCCTTCGTCGTCCTATATCAAGTATTCCGTCGCTTGACGATCTCTGTCAATATAATTTCTTTCTTGTTTACTTGATAGGTAAATGTATTACCCTCTGCGTTTCGTGTTATTGATTTTCAAAGGAACGTCTATTTAATTGTACCTGGTAAGAACGCTGCAGTATAGCGGGTTTGCCTACTCCTCCATCCTCCCACAAGGCGCCAAGCCCCTGCGACCAAGAGAGTATGCAATCGCGCAACACTGCAGCGTCCGCTGTGATACACCCCGCATGTTGCTGGGACTATTTTATCTTGGAATAAAAAAATATCAAGTACGGTAATAATTTTAAACAACGGACGACTTTTTATGAAACTTCGTAATTTATTCGCACTTTGCGGAAAACAGTCTTTTCACGACGTTATTGGCACAATGAATGTTATTGACTAATATCACAAATATTAAACACATCCTGTACAAACCAAGAGATCTATCGAGGGGGTAATCAGTATGGGTTTTGGTGTACAGACTACTCCGTATTGACGTTTACTATGCACTAAATCGCCTATTACACCACCTACGATGCGATGTTACCCGTCTACGAGAGACTCGTTGCGAAGTCCTCTTGGGATAACGTACCCCAGTCCAGAAACTTAAGTCGGCCGCTTCGCATTAAAGCTATACACTTAATTCCCCCACATGTTTTTTTACATATTAGTAAACAATGACCCGGGCATCACTGTGTGGTACCCGTGCTTACCGTATACTACCTAGATACAACTACAGATTTATCGTATAAATTGCTGTAAGCGCAGGCTCTGTCTCCCGCAGGGTGCTTTCTAGCAAGCGAGTGATTACCCCCTCGAGATATCATTAGCACTCGACATAATAACCCTTTCTTCGCCTCCCCCCGCCCCGGCCCACCGACCCAGCTACCGCCTAAGCCCCAGAACGCGGGTGTTGCCGAAGACCCAGTGCGCAGGGCGTGCGGCCTTGTCGAGCTCCTCCGGCGGGTTGCGGTAGATGGCGGGCCCCACGGCCACCAGCCGCCCGTCGTGCGGGATAGTGCCGAGCCATTCGGGCCGGTAGGCCGACAGTCCCCGCTCGTTGGCGTGCCTGAAGGCCTTGTACATGTCGAGCAGCCGCTCGGAGGGCACGGCGACGACGCGTGCCCCGGGCCCCGCCACGGCCGTGCTGTCCGGTGCCGTGTACGCGATGCCCCCGGGCCCCACGATGGCCGTGCCCCCGAAGGCGGCCGTCGCGATGCCCCCAGGTCCGGCCACCGCCACGCCGCCGCGGCGCAGCACGATGCGGGTGAGCGTCGGGCCGCTGCTGGTGTCGCCGGCGGCGTCGTCCCTGTGGCCGGAGGCCAGCTGGTCGGCGGTGCTTCCGAGGACGCCGCTTTCGAGTAGCACTTGGTGCACCTTGGCTTCCACTCGCTTGGTCAGGCCCCCGACCTGCGCGACCACCTTGTTGACGCGCTTGTTTATTTTGTTTTTAGTTTTCCGCAGTTTCTTCTCGACCGTTACTTGCGGAGGGTCTTCGTCGACACCGTCGTCCTCTCGGTAGGCCTCCTCCTCGCTGGGCAGGCCGTGCTCGCCGTTCTCCACCGAAACCGTGTCCTGCTCTGTGCTCGGCCCTTCCTCGACGTTGATATCCCAGGCTACACCCTCGGTCACACTCTCAACATCGCTGCTTTCGGTGTAGACATCCGCATCGGCACCTTCGGTCCGGATGTCGGCGACGTCCTCGCTCACTTCGCGGAGATTTCCGTCGTCCTGGTGCAGATTATCAGTCGCGCTCTCGTTTGCTTCCGTTATGGCTCCTCCTGCAGTGTCTTCCCGATTGAGCTGCTGGTTATCCGCACCCGACTGACTCCTGATACCAACACCCGCCCCCTGGGGTTGGTCGGCCGTCCTGGTGCGGCGCGACCGTTTGCTCGGTCCCCTGCCACCGCCGCCGCCGCCGCAAACATCTGCCTCCGGGCCGTACTCCACCAGGTTGGCCACGAGGCCGGAGAGGCCGCCCCCGGTGAGCCACGAGCCGTAGAGGCCCAGGAGCGGGTCCTGGATCACGATGGGGAAGTAGTTGGCCAGCGGCCATGTGACACGCGCCGGCCCATCGCCGCCGCCGCTAAGTTGGTGCGAGGTCGTCGTGACGGCTGTGAGGGTTGGAATGAACGTCGTGACGCTCACGAGCTTCGTCGAAACGTCCTGGTTACTGACGACTTGCTGTTGCTGCCCGGCGAGTTCCGACTGTTGCTCCCACTGGCGTTCCGGTTCCTGTCCATCGTACGGCGTCCGAGGAAGAATGTCGTTGACGGCGTCCTGGTCCAGGAGGGATCCGCGCCGCGGGTGGTCCTCTGTGTCTTCCTCAGACTCTAACGGGTACGTCTGCTCGACCAGCCTGCGCGCCTGTCTCTGTCCAGACCGCGAGAGCTGTTCGTGGCGGCGGCTCTCCCCCAGGTGACCAGGGGCGGGGCGCCGTGCGGTGGCGGCCGACAGCCTGGCGGCGTGCTCCGGGTGAGACAGGAACAGCAGGTGGATGTCGGTGAGCTGGCGGCTCGAGATGCGGGTGGACGTCCTGCAAGGAAAGGAGTGGCCACGAGTTAGTAGGTTGAAGTTCGACAGCATCAGCAATCAGCATATTATTGGAATAAAACCAGCCCAGACTGTGAAGGAGCGGGTAAATGTTGCGCTACGCTAACAAGAATGTCAGTAGTGGCTTTGAAGAAATGTTGTCTAGCCGCCACAGGGCGATACAGGGAAGCATTTTTTTTTTCTGAAGGTTAGTGCATAAGATCTCGACAAATGTCCAGCTTCTATCTCCCTTTTACATGCCAGGACGATCGTTGTCCCAGCACACTTGCGTTGTTATAACTGGACCGAACTGGACCACAATGAGGCGTGCGGGCAGGTTCGCCCGTCACATTGTCTCTTGATCTCTACGGCCCCGATCGAATAGGCAAGCCTCCCGCACACCTGTTGCTTAACAGTTTCACAAGGAAAATGAGCAGGGCCGATCAGTCCCAGGTAGCTTAAGCTTAGAATGTAATTAGACCTTTGTCGTCCTGTCCGTGATCGTTACAGTGCAAGAGTACAAGCGTTTCCGCCTGGGTGGTAGGCAACCCATTTAACGTCGAATCCAGAGGTAGTGGTTGGCGGTAACAACGCACCGCCTCCCCAGCCGTTCAGAGCGTGGCTGTGTTACGAGCGTTTACTTTAGGATTTATAAGAACTAACTTAGACTCTTAGAATCTAGAGGTATATCTCCACAAAAAGGAGGGGGACGTGGGTGGAGCAGAGCGCTCACATCGTCTCATCAGTGTATTACTTATTTAGGAGTTAATCAGATTATTACAGGGTTGTCGACTTACCTTCTGTTTTAATCGAGTCGCTAATTCTTCTTTAATCGTGTTGGCGTCTCGGCGTTGCGTGGCATGTCCTCGCGCGGCCGTGCTGGCCAGTGCTCAGAGCAACAACACTCTGTAATGTCCTAGAGCCCTCCTTTACACGCTTTTGGTTGAGATTACAAGGCTACTATGGTGAATTAATCATTTAAAAATAGTGACCTATTGTATGGAAGTGTTTAGATTGCACCGGCAGAGCAGAGACGTGTGCACAGATCAAACCAGTGACTCCATGACACCGGAGGTGCGATGCAAATACTCGTGAGATCCCTCTAAGTACCAAATTTCTGGTGTGCTGAGGAACTTTTTAGGGTGAAGAGGGGGTGGGGGTTGACCAGAAAACAGAAGGGTCGTCCTACCAGCTCCTATTAATTAAGGAAATTTTTGTTGTCCTTACTGCCTTCAGGCCATTCTGTTTACAGATTTCTTAAGAACTTTCACAATCTCTCCGGAGAGGGTATCACCTGTCGTGCGCCGACATAAAAAAACGACTGTCGAATAAGTGGGACTTGAACCGGTTTTCCTGATATTAATTGCCTCTCGCTGCTTTATGCGATACGCGATACATCGGCGGTCGTCTCTTCGCATAATGGAAGTGTAATGATGGAAAATTATTGCAAATTTCTCCGCCTCACTCTATAAACTGAGTATGTATCAAAGGAGCGGAGATGAGCCGTTTGTTTTTTTGTTTGTTTTTTTCTCGAGGTAAATGGTGAACTGCCGAGTCGGGGTAGTCACTCAGTGTAGTCACGACATCTTGTCTGTTTGTCCGATTGGTCAAAACAGTCCTGGAGCGTAGCGTCGCTGAAGCTGTGTTAAAGGTATTAGCAAGGCGTTACGACTGAGAAAAGTCTCAGTAGAGGAGAGCCACATGAACATCGCAGATATAGAAAATTTACACACTCTGAAACAGGAGTGACGAATATGGACATCACTAGTCAGTGCGAGAGAGGTAGACTTATGGACGACCCATAAAGCGAGAGAGCGCGAATGACAACGAAGTGGATCGCAAGCCACGTAGCTGAGACCCCTGCACATTCCACAGGGTTTCCCGTATCTCTTAAGAACCCGTACTATTTTTTGTTAAACTGTATCGCATGCAGATGTGCAAGTGGACTTGCCTATACCGTCGCTTATCAAGAAAGTACGTCCGTCGTCATTCGCGGTTACGAGCCTGTCAAGTTCATCCTCTACAAGCTCTCGAAACGCCTTGTAGGTAGGCAACATCTTGTCTGCATGGCATTCGTGTATTGCGGGGTGGCCCACCCCGAGTCTTGCAGGCGCTGAGCTGAGCTCCCGTAATTTGCCAAATAAATATGAAAAAACGGACGTACTTTCTGGACGATCCCCATGGCAGTGAGAGAGCAGGCAACACGCCTACACGCTTATGTGCGGTACAATACAACCAAAAAAAATCAATTACGGGCCTTGAGATACCCTATAAGTATGATATTTTATAAAATTTAAACTGCACACAAAATTGTTAAGAATTTTCGCTTTCGTTAAAGATTTTCTTTTGAACTCAAGCACGAGTTCGCGAATAATTTTTGGACTTGGTAATCTACCATACTGCAATAATTGCATGTAATAAAATCGAGGTGGAGGAAGTTTGAAATGCGTTCATGTGGTTCTCTTTTCTTCCCACTCCCGAGCCTACCCCCACCCCAGTTGCATCATACCGAGTCGATACCAAAACTTATTAACGAACATGTAAATGTAACGTCACGACTACTCACTCTATGCCGTCTTCGGCACCCCTCGCTTCGGCAGGGAGGTACGTCCTGGCTGTCCTTGTGCTCCGTACCGGTGTCTTCTCTTCCTTCTCGGCATCCTCCTTTTGGGCGGGGCCAGCCTGCGACAACGCCCCCTCCACAGCGCTTTGCACCGGGATGAGCGGCAAGTCCGGCTTTTCGCCGATAACTCGCGAGTCATCGACGCTCCCGTCGACGACGGCAAAGGCGATCGGAGACCGGAGTGACCCCTCCGGGAAGACCTTCGAGTCGTCGGGGGTCATAACGTCCGGCTCGATGGGGACGGGGTTCGGCTTCATGGCATCCTCCTCCTCTTTGTCGATCTTGGGCTCGTCCGGGACGACATCGGGCTTGGTTTCGGGCTTAATCTCGGCCCCTTCCTTGGGCATGGAGTCGGCCTCCGCCCGGGGGAGATCGGCGGGCTGCTCGGGCTGCTGGGGCTGCTGGGCGGCGTCCACGGGACTCCCCTCGGGCCTCGCGCTCGCCGTGCATGCCAGCAGCGCCGCGGCCAGGAGCCACGACCAGATCTGAGGCAAAAACAAGCGGGGAGGTCAAGGGTCAATACACGTGAACATGAAATGAAATGCAGGCAGCGTTCCCGCCAGACAGACACGGCAGGCGCGGAGGGGGGGGG